TAAATTGTCAAGAACTTTCAGGAGATCATACTTCCTGTATCTGTTATGGTATTATTTGATATATGTTAATAGTTTGCTTTTCAAATGTATGTAAAATAGGACTGTCTCACTTCACCTAGATTTGTTTGATGTTATCTTTACAGAGCTGGTTTTGAATGTTTCAGACCCACAGCTGTCTGCCCGGTGTCTCTCTGCTGTAAGGATATGTGCTATACCTAAGACATCTTCAGTAGGCGAAGGATGGCATTTTCCTACCCATCTTGTCCCCATATCCTCATGCACTCTTAAATGTTGTAGGCAGGAAAATTAGTAATCTTACTAAGTGTTAAATGCACGTGTATATTTTTATATGATTTCCTTACAGACTGTATTCTTTAAGCTGTAATAATGACGCTTGTCACAGGTCAACTTGCTCACTATTGTTTATACTTAGAGTTCCAGTCTTATGCTGTGCCATATTATGACGCTTGGGTCTGTATGCATAACCCTATCAGTTTTTAAGAACATTTTTGATAAGTGTCCTAGGAGGGTATAAAAACTGAGCTATTATCTGGTAGCAGTTGCTCAATATATTTCATTTGTTGTGATAATACAAAAGAGCTGATCTGTGATTCTATTTATCATTTGTATTTTCCAGTTTTTGTTGCTTGTCATATGATCACCAACATAATCTTAATCATTGATAGAAATAGGTACCCTTCTTGTTCTAGGAAATGTTGCTTAGGTCATTTACAGATACTTCTTAAACTTAGATATTTACTTTGGGCAAGATGTAAAAAGTTGAAAATATTTTATGGAAATTAAATCATGTTTGTAAAAAGGCTGCTGGCTATATCCATATTCATTTGTTTAAAATAAACTTTAAATTTATTTCTGTATGTATATGACCTGTCCTTCAACAAATATAACTGCTTCTCAGGGATTTATTTTTAGTTCATATTTGACTTACTGACTATTTTAATGCTCTTAATTTAAAAGTTTTCAGCGTAATTTAATTTGGATAGAAGTCTGCGTGCATGTCTGTAAATAACCTTGCTTGTATTGTGTTTGGTAATCTTGCAGGTAGGCATGTATACTCGTGGTATTAGACTGTCTAATCTGAGAATCTGAGAGATTAGATTTTGCATTCTACAATGTATTTCTTTATTCTCCTTCCTCCTTACAGTACATTTTATTTACCATGTATACTCTTCTATGCATTAATTGATGAGAATGAGTTTTTAAAGTCAAGCCATGTTTTGGACCATTACTAAGCTGGCGGGGGAAAGGAAGAGACTGTGATCTTGCAGATGATATGTGAAGGTCTAAGAGATCTGTAGTTTATTTTGTGTATTGTATTTTATTGAGCAATGCTTTTTCCCCCTCAGTATCAGAAGACTATTTAAGGACTAGTGTTTGGAGCATTTCTGGTATCTATGAATAGATTGTTTTGGCTGTGTTTTGCTCTTGCTGCTTGCAGAGAATCATAACTTATGGGCTTCAGTTAGCGGTTTAAGACTGGTCACATGTCATGTCACATAATCTTATCACTTGAGAAAGGCAGAACAGTTGTGCTTTGTTGTAGTATTAAATCAGGCATATGCTTTGAGGGGATCAGTTCTAATGAGAAGCTAGTTCACATCTATTACAGGGGAAACTGAAAGGCACAAGCTCCTTTTTGTTTGCTTTTCTGTGGAGTTTTTCTCTAGAAGATGCTAAAAAACATCCAGAGTTCATTCATCAGCAAGTTCTTTAATGTGCTTCTCTGGCCATCATTTTTTATAACCACTAAAGAATCCCAAAGGGTTGTTTTGTTTATATTGTAATCATAGTTAAGAGATCTTGTCTGAGATCAGGACCTAATTGTTCTGTGCACTGTGCAGACGCACTTCCTAAACTGGCTAGCTAGTTAGCTAGGACAATCAGCAGCAGAAGAAACAGCACTCGAGATCCCGGTCTAATCCTTACTACACGTTGTTACTGCAGCGGTCAGGATATATAAGTAACTTCAGTAATCTAGTGACTGAAACACTAAGCTGGAAGGTACCTCGATTCTGGTCCCTGCTGCTATCACAACTTAGGTATTTTGTGGAGGGGACATTGATGCACATTACATCAAACTGTCCTTGCAATAGAGAACCATGTCTTCCTGCTCCAAAATGGGTGCTCAGAATCACTGGCATGGGCAGTTATACACTCACTGCTGTTGTCTGCACCCACTGCTGTCATCTCTCTCCTCCTGGGACTCTTTCCATCCTAATTAAGCAAGCAGTATGTGAAGCAGCTGCACACTGGGTAGTCTGAAACCAGAGTGATTTTCAGGAAAGTGAAGTTGTGGTTTCATGAGACAGAGTTTTTTGGCAGCACTATCAAACATCTACACTGTTGCACTGTACCATCCTGTCTCAGTTGTGCTGGTGCAACTGTCTGTGTAGCCATTCTGTGAATATAGCTTTCCCACTTTTGGGACAACTCTGCTAGTCTATAATTAGATTAAGTACTTTAAAAGGGGTAACACCTAATGCTTGATTGGAAGGAGTAGAGCAGGAGCTGTAAGTATACTTTCTGCAGAACTCGATACTGCCTGTGTTTTAAACATACCTGGGAATCTTCTCACCCCTCAGCTGATTTAGGAAGGGGAACCTTTTGGACTCTGGTCAGGTTGAACAGGGGAAATTATGACTATGCACAGAAGAGAAAGATGAGAGGAAGACTACCAAGGCAATTCATGGAGTTGGGCCCTGACTAAAATGAGGATTTCAGGATCACACTGTTGTATGCAGGCATGTAAGAAGAGTTTTACTGTAGTATTTTCTCCTTAAACCCTATTTTTAATCTTGCTCAATAGACTCTGATGTCAAACTGGTGTCAGGTGATCTGTGATTTAATAGCTGTGAAAGATAATGAGATTACATTATAGGCTTAATGAATTTTTTTTAATGACAAGGAAGAACAGACATTGTAGGTCTGTAAGAGTTGCATTACAAAATCAGATGACTTATTCATTCTTACCGTAGTATTTTTGATGCCTAATAATGTTCTTTTGTAGATTACACTTTTTTTTATTCTCTGGATGTTAGTTATTTGACACACAACTTTTTGGGTAGACTACAAATTTTATGAGCTGGAATAAAAGTTAAGAGTTCCCCATTTAGTTGTTAGGAGCGCTCTCAAATGTAATACAGATAATTAGGATGGCAGAGACAGTATAACCCAAATTACTTTTATGACATCTGAAGTTAGAGCTCCTGTGAAGGACTGATGGTGGTGGTGATGATGATGATTATTACTACTTAGATATCAAATTGGAGCCAGTTAAAATAATAACAATATAGCTCCATCTCCATGCACATTTTAAGGTTTATTTCTCTTCTAATTTTGAAAAATTAGTTTTCGCTAATACTGTAAAACTGAATCTGTGCAGTTTTTCTGCCTCTTCGTGAGAGCTTAGTATTCATAGCTTCCATAGAAATTATACTGCCGGCAATGAGGATAAATTCACTAGAAGTCTGTTGGCATTATAGGACTGCAGAAGGCAGTAGCTGGCTATTTTTAAATCTCTGTAAATTATGTAATTTGTTGCCTGGGTAACCTGTGCCTGTGTGGGGTGAGGGTGAGGGTTGTTGCTGATAATTACAAAATCAGGAAATCAGTGTCTAAAATCAGTCCTGCCTAACTTATCTGTATTAATTTCTAAAAACTAAAATCTGAAAATACTACTCCACTACTGTATGAGTCTGTCCAGTAAGTTAACTCTGCATTGTTAAATTAATAAGAGTTAGGAAACATTAGGAGTTTTATTCCACTTAGCACAAGTACTCTAGCCTCATATGTAGTGCAGATAATATGAGTGTGGAGATGATTTGCCTTGTATGGATGTAAATATAAAATTAAATCTTTCTTCTCACCATGTTTAAATTATTTCAGATAAGCTGTTTGTACTCAGGTGATCAGATTCTGTTAATACTTCTTACTGTAGTCTGTCTTTCTATCTTCGTTCCCCATCCACATTGCCCAAAGAAAACTTTGTTTTAGATTGTGTTGCAAACTGTAGATTCTGTGAGTGTTGTACACTGTCTAACCCTGGACATTTTAACATGGCTTGAGACCTCCACATACTTCCAGTATAAATAATTATGCACAAACACTCTTAAATACTCTCTCATTTATCATATAAAATAATAACTATATAACTTAGTGTTAGCCAAAATACAGCAGAAGTAGTATTATAAATGGTGGTATTTGAAGCAAATATTATAAAAGTGTGGTACTTAAATAAACCACTTGAGTAAAATGGAGCCCTATGTAAGTAGCAGTATTTTATCTCCAGACGGGTCATTATACCTCAGCAGTGTACGAGAGAAGTTCAAACCTAGAGCCTGCTGCTTCTGCTCAAAGGTTAAAATGAGTCAAACAGCAGGGAGAGGAGAAGCCTGGAGATGATGCATCTGGACTTAAGTATTCAGGGTATCTTCAGGTTAATGAATAATCAACCTGTGAGAGAGATTAGACCTGCTGGGAGAATAACTACTGGTCATTGATAACTGCAATTTCTATAGCATTATATAGTGGGAGAGTGTTGTGGCTGGAATGCTGGCATGCTCTTGGGGTTGTTGTCACATGTCGAATGGTGTACATCGTACATTAGATAACATTAAAACAGTTAACAGGTTAAGATGCAGGGTCGTGCTAGAGATTCAGGTTGTCTTTATTTTGATTAATGCTGTAGCATGATTTATCCCCTGATAGGTCATGGTGGGAATTTTTTCCTGCTCTCCCCATTACGTAAGCAGGTTGATTTTTTTTTTTTTTTAATGTACCTTGACTAGTCCATCAAAGAAGCAGTTGGATGCAGTAATCTAGTTCAACACTGCAAACAGTTTGAATGTAAAATCTTAATGAAAATAAATAAAGGAGGTATGTTTTAAAGACTGCATCAGATACGGCTTTTATTTTCTTGAGTAATACACAGAATGATGTTCATCTTTGTTCTAAAACTGTTTTGTTTTCCTTTGTCACAGATCACCAGAAACTGGAAAGGGAAGCTAGAATCTGTCGCCTCTTGAAGCATCCCAATATTGGTAGGAACATTTAATTGCTTTCTACAGTAAATACCAGTTTCGGCAGTTAAGGGGAAAATACAAAATGGCGCATAGAAATAGCAAGCATGAGGAAGCCAAATGGCAAGACTGTTTCTTTCAAATGTAGTGCTACTTTCAGATTCTTCTATGAAAAGTAATATCCCAACAGATCACATAAAGCAAAGTGTACTGGTCTCATCTCTTCTGAGCTATTATTCTGTCATCAATGAGCTGTCTATGCCAGGTGTTTGGGTTTTTTTGAGCAGTGCGTAGGCAGAGTTATTTCCAGTATTGCTCATGACTTTTTGAGACTTGCAGAAGGATGTCAGCTAATAGCATATGTTGCAAAATGAGACAGACCACTGCAGATAAAGTTAGTGCTGTTTTTACTCAGATGCTTATTTTATCCTGTTTTATTTTGTGTTTGAGATTTTATTCCGCTGTAGAAAAGGTGCACAGAGTAGAAAGCTCCTCTCCCTTTATTTCCAGACTGTATTCTTTCTACTCCAGCATTCATGGGAAGTATTAAAAAAGATTTTGGGAGAGTTTTCTGTTTCCTTGTGTGTGAAACAGTAGAGGAACAGATAAGGACCTTGCTCTTGAAGGAGTAGGATCTGGGTTTTTCAGACACTAGATTGTCTGCCGAGGTCTCTCTGTTATAAGAATATATGCTATACCTGAGACATCTGCAATAGAAGGTTAGGATTTTCCTGCCTATCTTGTCACTCTATCCCCATGCACATCCTTAAAAGTTGTTGTCAGGAAAACTGGTAATCTTGCTGAGTGTTTTAAATTAACATGTATATTTGGTACTCTGAAAACACTTGACAATTTGCTTGTGCTTCTTCCTTGTTAGTCTTTCTCCTTTTTATTTTTAACTAACAGAAGTTGGTCTGCGTGACATTTTTAGACTAATATGATTGTTTTGTGCTTGGGAAGGAAAGAGTTTCTCCCTTTTAATAGTAATTGTAGTTTGAAAACAAAAAGCCTGCAGTTCAAATGGAACTTGGAATCCCTGAAAAAGCGCTCTCACACATTCTGAAAGGTTAGAGGTTTCACCTGCAAGTTGGAAATGAGGAAGAGTAGCGTTATCTGTATTATTTTAGGTCCTCCCATTTGATATTTTGTCCTAGCCAAAATTGGGCAGCGTAAAGTGATGGACAACAAGGGAGTGTGCAACTTATTGCAGAGAGGGTTTGCAACTCATCTTCAGTTTTGGAAAGCAATGGTTGCAAATATAGGGCTAGTCTTACTCCACAGACTAGTTTATCTATGTCTTGCTGTAGTTATTATTGCTAGAGTATATTCATGAGTGTGTTCAAGCCAAGGCAGGTGAATAAAAACTAATAATAAACAGGAACTGATGCAAAGTGGTAGTGCTGAAGTGATATGACAGTGGTTTTGGGGACAGACAGTTAGTGTTATAGAAGTCAACACAAATTTCATGCTTTCTTACCTGTGCCGAGGTAGATATTTAATTCAGAGGATTAAAACCAAAATCTTTCACTGCTGATGATTTCTGTTCAGAAAAGACCATATTCTAGATTTGTATGAGAGGTGTTTTGGTGTTCGCGCGATGGAGTTACATGCCAGAGGCTTGACAATATGCGTTGTAGTCTATCCCTTTTTTAATTTCCACTATAAACTATTCTGCCAACCATGGCAGTGTATCTGCCCTGAAAAACACTTTAATTAGCTTGGTTATCAAAGTTCCTTGTTTATATAAATGTAGCAGTGAAGGCCACTTTGTATCTGGTTTCTGTCTTGGAAGAAAATCATAAATGTGTTTTGAAAGCAAGCAACTGGTTTTGTAAATCAATAAAGGTAGCTCTTGTCAAAAGTAGTAATTTAGGCCTCTCAAATCCCTCTCACATAAGGTACTGGGTTGGACGCTTTGATGTTTGCATGTTGAGCTGATTGTCTAGTCTCCACCTCACCCAGATCGGTACCATTTCCTTCCCTGTCCCTCCCTGCCTCCCACGAAGCGTTCCTGCGCTCAGCTTGTCCAGCCGCTAGCCAGCACCGGTGCACTTCCGTGGCCCTTGGACTGATCCAAGGGGAGGCTGCGGCACTCTAGCAGTTTGCTTTCCACCCTGCTCACTACTCTGGCAGTCATGTAGTGAGCCTGTTCAGGGAGGTGATCAAGCTAAAAATTAACCCTTAAAATATTCTAGATGCATGTATTTGTACACCAAGCTGAACCTTTTATTTCTGGGTTATGGTCATGTACCATAAAAAACAAAACAAAAGAGCTCCAGTGGGTAATATTCCATCATACTAGAATGCACTGGAAGTGAAAAAGGCAGTACATACAGCAAGGCAATTCAGATTTAACAGCTCAAAATGGTAAAGATTAACCTTTGTAAACAAATTTTGTTCTCATTATGTATACGATAAAGAGTATGTGCGTTTAAAAATATTAGCAAGTCCATGAATCTAAAACACATACTTTTTGCCCTTTACCTACGCTTTGTCCTGAGTTGCCTACAACTCATGAATTTCTAGTAGCCTAGAAAATAACAGATTTTTTTGAAAAGGAACTCCCCTATGTACAATGAATATGTATAATTTATGAAATAGTTCTGAAGTACAGTTTTACAAGTGCATTCTCTATAGGAAAACAGAAATCTAGTTTAATTTATTGGACAGTTTCTCATAACACAGTGTCTGTTTTTCTTCATTTTGTTGCAGTGTAGATTTTTAGTTACTTGTATGTTTGAGTACACGTTCATTGTAAGGTGGCAGCTTTCTGAAGTTACTATTCAGTAATCCTTTCTCTTTTCATTCAGTCTTATTCCTCTTCCTAGTTAGTTTGATTAAATCTCACTTCCAAAAGTGACGTGGTTTAAAGGTCAGTTTTCGAGTTAACTTTATTTCTAAAATAATACGTACATAATAATATTCCTGTTTAGTGTATTAAGGTCTCTTCAGTTAATTATCTTTCAAATGTAATAATATATTGAAACCATCACCAGAAGTATTTGGGTGAAAAATCCTTTCTGGTTACCTTTTTGATACTTTCCCTCTAGTTGGGCTAAAACAACACAGCTGTGATGAATCGCGTTTTCAGATTTCAGCCTGTGAGTGAACATGTTGTAGCTTTCCTATGAGCAAGATTTTTGTCTTTAGAGGAATTGCCAATTTTACCAATGGAGTTGGTAAAATTGTAGACCACTGGAAAGATTTTCTGTTTGCCTTCCCAGAAAATGTATTGACACAAGATTCTGAAAAACATCTACAGATGACTATTTTTGCATTTCCAGGGTAGGTGTCCAATTAGTAGATAACAAGAAAAGAATTCAATGTTAAATTATTTCTTCATGAGAAGAAAGAATTCAGAACTAAACTTCTTAGCAATCAGTTGACATACCTATTTTTGGCTTTCCAAGAATGTCATTTTTATATCCTTTTCGTCTCTGATTTGATGGGTTTTTTGAGTGAGTGCTGTTGTGCAGTTGGCATTGAAATCTTAGGACGGCATTTGAAAAAGGCTTTCAATGTAGTCTGTATTCATATGCAGTAAACTTCAAAAGTTACTCTGATATTAGCAGAGGAGGCTTAAAATTGGACATGACTATTCTCATTTTTTGATGTAGCATTGGAATAAAAGATCTGGAAGTGGGGGGGGAGAATTAGGAAGAGACTAAATGCGAAGGCTTTCTTCCAAAGAGTATGAAATTCTTAAATGTGGGTATTAAGGAGTTATTCATGAAAACATTTTCATTTCATTTCCTGATTTGAGTCTCCCAAAAATCTCTATAAAATATTCAACACAAACCCCAGGAAACTAATATGTGTTTTCTGTTGCCATTTAGGGAAGTATTTGTGACATAAGATCATCATTTCAAGAGTCAACGTATCTACCAAACTTTCACAGATAATACATTTAAGTATGTATTGCGGGAGCTTTATTATTCATCTGAATTATCTTTTGAGCTTGTTCTACTAGAATAATAATTTTTGAACTAGGTGCAAGGTAGCAAGTTCTGACTTCATATAGGAAAATTTAAATTACTGGTTATTATTCTCACTATACAAATGTAAGGAAGGGAAGCTGAGTAAATCAAAATCCAGCTATTTAGCTTTTTCAGATTCTCTCAAATTGAAATCAGTGATAGTTCATGTTAATATACAGATGTACTTCTTGATATCAATGCATGTATTGATGCACGGCTAAGCATATAGAAGTTTATGATCATTTTTATGCATGAAAAATGCTTCTGAGGTAGACACAGATCTTGTCACGTGCACTTGATATCCTTCTAATCAAGTCACGAACCTGGCTGGTAACGTCAATTGCCTTCTCTAAGGCATTTGTTTTACTGCTGTATTATTGTGCTATTTGTATTACTGTTGTACTGCTGCTAATGTTTTTATTGTGGAAAATCTGCATATTAGGTGGATTAAGAAAACAGATAATGACAAAATGTAAGGTAATTCTCACCTGATGGAGGTATTGGTGGTGGAGTGCTAAAGACATCTGATTCAATATTTTTATCAACAGTCTTGAAGAAAAAAATTGAAGTGGATATGAAAAGTTTGATATGGTGGGGTCATTTGAATGAGCAGCCTTAGAGCAAACAGATGCAAGAACACATGTCTAAGAAAAAAGTATATATGTCATTTTTAAAAAATGAGGGCCTGTATCTTGGAAAATAGTGACTCTGAAAAGTCTGTGATAACAGAAAATAATTACTAGAACACAAATTTAATTTGGTTGTTGTAGTACACAGAGCAAATGTGATTCTCAGATGCAGGGAAGTAACAATCGGGAAGAGGAAAGCAGTGTTTATTTTGTATCTGCCAACAGAAGACACTTCTAAAATACTATACTGAACTTTGGCATCCACATGTCAAAAAGTTTGATCTGTTTAAAGGAAGAGATTTCATTTGCCTACAAGGATAACATGGAAAAGTTCTTTAGGAAGGAAAAGCAAAAAGGAACATGACTGCAGTGCTAGAGTTAAAGATAGAGTCACTTTTCTGGCAACAGAAGTAAT